TAACAAAAATGACGATGCAAATCTCCGTAATGGCTACCAAATGCAATCAAGGTGAGAATTTGTGTCAAATACTGTCAAATCTTGATTGTGTTCTCAGTCACAGTTTGAATTGTTTGTGTGTGTGTGTGTGTGTGTGTGCGTGTGCGTGTGCGTGTGCGTGTGCGTGTGCGTGTGTGTGTATGTGTGTGTGTAAAAGGACTCGCTGAGTATCTCTTGGAAGGAAGAGGCAACAGTTGACAGCAAGTGGTGCTTAACAGCTGGTGTCCTCTAAAGCCCATGAAAAGGGCTCAGTGTGAAACCCTCCGTGTTTCATTTAGAGGTATCAGGAAGAATTAATGGTGAGATGTAATTATGCAGTTACATTCAGGTTTTTTATTCTGGCGCAAATGCAAACAGAGCTTATCAAACAGCTTTTTTCTATCTTTTCTGAACGATACGCTCCTGTGGTTGAGATTAGAACTGATTTTTTTCTGTCAAAATCCTCCTTTTCCTCCTCTTTTGTTGCTGTGTGTGTCTGAATGATTAGGAGTGGTTGTGAGTTTGTTTTTGGCTGCCTTTTTGCCACTGCTAATCTATCTACAAGTATCTGCTGGTGACCAAGTAGCGCCAGCAAACCTGGCCTCACAGAAACCTCCCTCTGGTATTCCACCAGTTTTTCCCTTTTTTCTTCACGTGTTTCCTCAAATTTCCACTTTTTTTTTTGTACCCATTAGGGATTTATTGAAGCCATTAAAGATTGAGTTGCCTTAACAGGAAGGATTCGTCCTTCCCCCCTTTCAACCTTTCTGTCTCTGTTGTTTTTATGTGAGAATATCTTGTTCTCGGAGCTCATTTCCCAGCTGCCAAGTCTTTGTCCGGGGATGACCAGTAAGGCTTGCAAAAGCAGAGTCTGCTGTGTGTGTGTTGTGTTAAAGTCCCCCCCCACCCACCCCCACAAACCCACTGATGGATCTGAATGTCGGCCGTCGCTGCTTTTAGGTCCAGACTGTGCTGAAAAAGGTGCCGGTGGTTGCGCCCAATCAGAGCGAGCCCATCATAGTTAGCAGGAAGAAGCTGGAGTACAAATGGGGCATGAACGTCCTGGGTAAGTCCACTACGTTGTCTCATTGTGTTCGTTTTCTGTCTCCTCGTTTTGCATCTGTGTGAGTCCTCCGCATGTTGACGTGTGTCTCTGTCAAGGCTTGATCGGCTTCTTCATCACCTTTGGGATCTGCATGGGGCGGATGGGCGAGCGGGGAAAGGTCATGTGCGACTTCTTCAACGTCCTGAACGAAATCATCATGACGATGGTTTCCATGATCATGTGGTCAGTGTCTTGCGTGCGCAACATGTGTCTCTGTTTTTTTTGCTCTCTCGGCCGCCAACGGCCAACATTGCTCAAGACATTCTGGAGATACCGCGCACACAGAGGCCAGCGACAGTGATGGATAAGGAGCAGCCTGTGCGCAACCAGACGGATTGTGGGAAACGGGCGAACGGGGCCGGACAGCGGAGACCGAAAAGGAGAGGAGGGGCGGAGGGAGAGGGAGAAAAAGTGTTAGTGAGGGACGCAGACAGATGGAGAGACGCGGGGACGGGCTGGAGTCTGTGGTATGCCGGGGAGTAGCGGGAGC